GGTTCATATGCGTGTGTGTGTATGTGTTTGAGATGGGGTTCATGTGCGTGTGTGTATGTGTTTGAGATGTTGTCCATGTGCGTGTGTGTGTATGTGTTTGAGATGTGGTTCATGTGCGTGTGTGTGTATTTGTGTTTCATGTGTGTGGGCGTGTTTTGCTTTGTTCGTGTGTGTGTGAGTTTGTGCTGTGTTCCATATGTGTGTGCCCGTGTTTGTGTTACTGTTCAAGAAATAACCCCCATCCATAGTTATCTATGGATAAGATAGCGATACATCGTGTTGAAACTATAGGATAACCATCCATAGATGACTATTCAACGATAATCATCCCCGGTGATGAATTCAAGCTTCGGTTCAGTCCCACAGCAACCACTCTCATGTCATAGGCGGATAGCTCCGCATAAACTAGCCATTGGTTAGCAAAGCCCTAAAGAAAACCCCTGAAACCCCTCAACTGCGTCACGTACTCATTGTACCTAGTTGCTGCCTTGGGCGTCCCTTTCACCACCTATGCACCTGCCCTGTTGACGCGTTTAACACTTTCCCTTTCACCTCCCATGCACCTGCCCTGTTGCAGGTGGTCATTCCCGTGGACCAGTTTGTGAGGATGGACAGCCCCTGTGGCGTAGTCAAGGGGACATTCACTGTCAACGTACCCGTGACGGCGCATGATTACACGGGTGCCCCTACGCAACCACCAGGGACTGTGCACATAGGGCTGCCCACAGGCACAGGTCGCCGCAGTGCCACCAACCCACAGCAAGCACACGGCCCCACCCAACACACAACACCCCCCACACCACGCAGCCAGCCAGCGCACCAGTACAAACGGTCGCACAGTGCCGAACCCATCAACATCCTCGAGAACATACAGAAGATGCAAGTCACGCAGGAGACCAAGCCAACGGCAACGGCCGACGCATACGTACACGCACACGCACACACCACCGCACGCCGACAGCAGCAACCACAGATACTCGCACGTGGGGCACTGAGGAAGAACGGCAGCTTAGGCGAGAAACTGGGGTCAACGGTTGCCATCGGACGATCACAGAGCATTGATGTGCAGGGGCTGAACAGCGAACGCAGCCGATCACTGCAGGTACGACACGGACACACCACACGAGCGAATGGGAGTGTACTTACATTGACCGATGCAATGCGCATGACAGCAGTAGGTGCAGTGTATATGATAGCAGTTAAGTCTCCTGACAAGTGCTATCTAGTTTTTAAATGGAAAGTCAGTTCGTTTCACCAACCCTTCCTTCTGCGTACTCTTTAATGATCTCCGATATATGAGCAATTATCGTCACCCTAACTCTTCACACGACACATCTTCTGTTCATTATTTGCAGATGAATCGGGTGCGCAACACGCCCTATGTAGACTACCCGTACAATGCCACACACCCCTCACCACACACAGCAGCCGCACACGTGGCACGATGTGCCTGTGGCAGAGACCTGCGCAGTGGCAGTGAGTACTCCTGGCTGCAACTCAGCATCATCTTCTGTCGCACCAACCCTCACACAGCCTCAGTCAACAACCCCCACGCAGTCTCAGTCAACAGCCCCAGCACACACACAGACAACCACGACACACACACACACACACAGGAGCACACGGATAGACCAGGTCTTCAGGTGGACATACACAGCACCACACACGACTACACCAACACCAACACCACCGCACAGACCAACAAACCCACACACCACCCGACTGGGCAGACCACACAGCCAGCACAACGCATGGCTATGGCGGAGGACTGTGCGAAGTGTTACGTGACACTGACACGACGGCTGATAGCCGCAGAGCTGCTGCACTACACACGCGCACGCAACGACGAGTTCGCATGGCGCAACTACAAGCAACGAGAGCGCGAGATGGCCGAAGACCACGTGGACACGACACAGACTCGCCTGGATACGGTACGCTGCAGCGGTTGGGTAGTGTGTGTGTGTGTGGTTGTACGCGTGTGTGTGTGTGGTTGTACGCGTGTGTGTGTGTGGTTGTACGCGTGTGTGTGTGTGGTTGTACGCGTGTGTATGTGTGGTTAGGCAGTGTGTGTGTGTGTATGTGTGGTTGTAAACGCGTGTGTGTGGGTTAGTGAGCTGGCCTAGGCATAGGAGATGTAGGTACACGTCCACGTATGTATGCAGGCATAAACGCTGTATCTGTGAGTGTGTACCATGCCAAAGGTGTGCACTGCTGCATCCCTGTTGTTTGATATGTCACGGTGTCTGGTGTGTATGTGAGGGTGTCATATGCATTTGTATGTGATGTTTTTAGGGTTTAGGGTTCATATACTTTTGTGGCCATGTCGGATGGAGGTATGCTTTTGTCGGATGGTTGTGTGACCGTGTCTATTAACCGCTGTTGTTGGTTTGTACCGGTGGCTGCTGTATATCTTATGAGATGTGACCTGGTTTTCCCATCGCGTCGTATCCCTTATCTCACTTCACTGACCAGTCCACTTACGCGTGCCTTGTCGAACTCTCTCTCACCCACCCACTTGCCCTCATCCCCTCCTGTCATGGTTGCTGTTGTGTTTGTGTATGTGCGCGTGGGCGTAGGTGGTGGCGTGTCCTGCGCGTCTGTTGGGTGAGATTGAGGATGCTACTACGGGATTGTATCCCGGGGCCTTCTCGCTAACTACGCTGTGTTTGCTGAAGGAATTCGAGGTCAGATTTGCCATCGACGCTCCGCTTGCACGCCTCACTAAGGTGGATGTGGTGGCAAGGTATGGTGTGTATCGGCTTTGTATTCCGACGGCTGTGAGAGTGTGTGCAGGCGGTGTTGTTTGTGACGGGTCTTGTTATACGTGGGTACTAACAGCTGTGTTTTAATTCGCGTTGGTGACGTGCACTGGTGTGTGTGTGGATGGCATTGGCCACCAGTTGTTTCGATGAGGAGTGGTGTCATTGATAGGTGTAGCTGTGTATTGCATATCAATGCGTGACTGTAGAGCTCAAAGTCAAATGAAAGATGTATTTGCCTACGCCAAAACAACATATGTTGATACGTGACCATGCGTCTTTTTGCATGTGTGATACGTGTTTGTATGTAGGTGTTTGGCGACTATACGTAGCTTATACATTGTCATTGTATGAATGTTTTCAGAAGTCTAAGCTCATATTCAGGTGATTATAAGTTGATATAACCAATCAGCACTTAGGATCAGCTCATTGGGATATCAAAACTATGCCCTGTGAAATTGAATCTTGTTCTTTGAGTAGAATAAATTAGATTTCTACCACAAACCACATGTGATTCTATGGTTATATCTATATATATGATTCTATAGTTATCTCTGTATATATGATTTTATAGTTATCTCTGTATATTTGATTCTATATCTTTATATATGTTCCCATGGTTATCTCTGTATATATGGCTCTATAGTTATCTCTATATATATGATTTTATAGTTATATCTGTATATATGATTGTATAGATATCTCTGTATATATGATTTTATAGTTATCTCTGTATATATGATTTTATAGTTATCTCTGTATAGATGATTCTATAATTGTCTCTGTCTATATGATTATATGGTTATCCCTGTATATATGACTCTATAGTCATCTCTGTATATATGATTCTATAGTTATCTCTGTATATATGAGTTTATAGTTATCTCTGTATATATGATTCTATATTTATCTCTGTATATATGATTCTATGGTTATCACCGTATATATGACTCTATAGTCATCTCTGTATATATGATTTTATAATTATCTCTGTATATATGATTCTATAGTTATCTCATATATATGATTATATGGTTATCACTGTATATATGATTTTATAGGTATCTCTGTATATATGATTCTATAGTTATCTCTGTATATATTATTATATGGTTATCACTGTATATATGACTATAGTCATCTCTGTATATATGATTCAATAGTCATCTCTGAATATATGATTCTATAGTCATCTCTGTATATATGATTCTTTAGTTATCTCTGTATATATGATTCTATAATTATCTCTGTATATATGATTCTATAGTTATATCTCTGTATATATGATTCTATAGTTATCTCTATATATACAATTTTATAGTTATCACTGTATATATGGTCTCATGGTTATCTCTGTATATATGATTCTATAGTTATCTCTGTATATATGATTTTATAGTTATCTCTATATATACAGTTTTATAGTTATCTCTGTATATATGATCCCATGGTTATCTCTGTATATATGATTCTATAGTTATCTCTGTATATATGATTCTATGGGTATCTATATATACAATTTTATAGTTATCTCTGTATATATGATCCCATGGTTATCTCTGTAAATATGATTCTATAGTCATCTCTGTATATATGATTCTATAGTTATCTCTGTATATTTATATCTGCTTCTGTCCAGCAAGTTCAGCCGAATCACTGAGTTCTGTTTCGGTTCTTCATCTGCAGATTGGTGATCTCGAGAGAGGCTGACCTGGGGTACTTCCAGGCGCTTGTGCTCGACTACATAATGCACCAGCCCTTGCCAACTCAATCCACTCCCGCGGACTTCTCTCAGGCTACATCCTCAAACGAATATACTCATACACACATACAAGCACATGCGTCTGTGGATACGATTTGTGCGCCCCTGTCGGACAGGAGGATGTTTATACAGACTGTGGAGAGAGTGCTCAATCATCTGATGCATGACCTCACCAAGTACAAGGTACCTGTCTATCGTGACAAGTGCACACAAGTCGTATCGCATTGGCACGAATCATCGATTATCGAACACATCAGGTTTCATACGTTGAATGTATCCTTGTGGCATATTCTGCCGACTAATGATGAAGTAGTGTGTTTCAGGATTGATGATATGATGATATATTCGAGTATATATAGCCAGATATATATGTTCATGATTGCGCAAATACGCCTCCTGAAATGCTAGCACATGCATACTTGTTGGAAACAGCGTCCCGTTCATGTTTAAATTTCAAAATTGTGCAATTGCTGAGTGTATGTTATGTGTCTACGGTCAGAAATAGTTCAAGCGGTCATATTGAATCGAGTCATGTGGGAATGCGAATGGATGTCTGCAGCAGTGGTTGTAGTTGCGTTTTTGTCGAAGTACGTGCACTGGCATTTAGGAGAGGTGCTTATGTGTAAAGACCCCCAACTGGAACCAATCACGCCGCACGGTTATAGTACCGCACTTATATACTCACTCACAACCAACTGCGACCAACCGGCTTATTACACATGCGCACGTATATTTTGACATGGCCGCTGGTATTGATCATTACGTAGATTTCTAACTCGTGGATTCACATACACCGATACATTCTCAGTGTTATCATACATGAATACTTCATTGATGTACGTGTGTGCGCGTGTATGCATATAGCACTGACTCATTTTCAGTGTTATCACACATGAATACTTCATTAGTAAATAACACCGATCCAACCCACCGTTCGCGTACTCGAACTCCTCATTGATATGTAAGTGCTTCCTCTTGCTCACATTTTATTTAACCGAATCCCTTTACCGTGTATGGGTACTCCCATGTGCATTGCTGTTGGTGACCAGATACACTTTGGGCCAGACGCGCCTGTGGGAGCACTGCAGAAGGTGATTGCCTATGTGTACTTCCTCTTCAGCGATGACGAAGGCGACGGCGCTACACACGCACATACTCGCCCACAAGCACACACACACACACACACACACGCACATGTACGAGCACGAGTACGTGAATATGCCAAAGAGTTTTCCAATCGCTACCCGAGTGTGCGAGAGATTCTGGAGAGGTGCCTAAGAGATGGCACACAGGCCACATTCAGTCGCTTCGTGCGGCAGAACATCGACGAAGGCCCCAGCATGATCCAAACCAACGGTGTGTGACATACATGACACGAAACTAGTATACATCACACTCACCTCCGCAAACCACAAATCACGTTGGTGTGTACATTCTAAATATATATGTATATGTATGTATGTATATATATATATATATATATATATGTGTGTGTGTGTGTGTGTGTGTGTACGTATATATGTATGTATGTATGTATGTATGTATGTATGTATGTATGTAAGTGTGTATGTACGTACGTAAGTATGTGTGTGTATGTGTGTATGTATGTATGTATATATGTATGTCTGTATTCATGTATTCATGTATGTATGTATGTATATATAACTGAAGACTCATGAATTGAGTAAGAAACACATACGGGGAGCTTGAGAAATGTGATTTGAGCAAGAGACGCATACACGAAGCATGAACCGAATGATTGGTATTGCTGACCCTATTGTTCCAGTTTTAACCTTATTCCACTCTGTCTACAGAGCCTGACTTCCGTAGTCCACAGATTAATAAGACGTCGTCTCTGGTGCGGTCGGCCACGTCGCCTCTGAAGGCGCTGTCAACCCGTCGAACCAGCATACAGATGAAGACAGGCATGGGCACTCTCACCAGCAAGGGCAGCATGAAGGGCCGAGCGGGCATGGGCAGTAAAGGTGGAGCACTGAGCAACGCAACCATCAGTGAACAGACGGCCACGTATGTCAAGGCGCATGTGCTAGCACGTGTGCGCGGCATGACGTCATTGGTTTTGGAGACGTTGGAGGAAATTGAGGTGGAGAGAGAGGTCAGTGGCTGTAGTGCGCATGGCTGTAGAGTTGTAGGGTTTTGGGGTTGTAGGGTTATATAGTTGTAGAATTGTAGCATTGAATGGTTGTGGGGCTGTAGGGTTGTATGGTTGTAGAACTGTATGGTTGTAGGATTGGAGGTAGTGTTGTATGATTGTAGGGCTGGAGTGGGTGTGCTTCTGTGCGATGTGCGATGTGTTTGTCACGGTGTGGGATGTTGGTGTGCGTGGTTGTACACAGCATACAGTAACCTGCCGTAGCTCTACCCGTCCTCGTTGGAGAGGGGTTGAATCTGCCTGGTAGTGTACGTGTTCGCCTCTTGCAGTGGTACACATGGCAATCTTACCTGCACGCACCTTGCCGTCGTGCAGCTGTGGTGGTGGCATAGTTCCTTTCTCTCCCTATGCGATCCCTCGCTTTATGCTTCTTGTACTGATTGTAGGGTTTAGGGTTGAGGGTTTGTGATTCATGCGCTGGAGTTGCCGATGGCGAAAGTGTTGGACATGCCATGGCCCGCAGTATACTCTGCGCCACAGAATCAGTATTGTATTATAACCTAGAGCCACACCTTTCATTAGCTCAGGCATTGTGGCTATCACAGAATCGACAGTTCAGAAGCGCTTGTCACTGAACTTATTTACCACCAACGCACACGTCTCTCCCTTCGCCCGCCTTCACTGGGGATGTTCATTATCTACGACTGCATCCGCCTCAGTGGCCGTGGCTTGTTTTGTATCATATTCACACTATCGCATCGCAGTGAACATACTTGTCGCACCCTTCTTACCCATTCACTTCGGACACCCATTCCCTTTTCCACCCGCCCCTCTAACACTCTCCAATCTGTCCAATGCAACCGGTCCCTTTTGTGCCATGCAGGTGCATGCACCTCAGTGGCCCGTGGTGGACCTGCTGGGTGTGACTGTGCCGCATTACCTGGGGATGATTGCACGTGAGCTGTCGCAGCTGTTCAAGGACCTGACGGAGGTGGTGGTGATGGATGAGATGTTTGATCTGTTCTTCAGCATCAAGCAGCTCAAGGGCAGGTGCCACGCCCTGTGCAATGCCGACGACATGTTCCCAATGGTCAGTCAGTGCGTGTGCCACTCCGAAGTTTTAGGGTTTAGGCAATAGGCCGTGGCACGGTGTTAGTTGGTGTCTCTGCGTGTGCATTCGGTTAGGATTACTGTGCGATGTTCTGATCGTATGTGTGTGTGGCTGTGAAAGTTTTAGGGTTTAAGACTTCATACCTCTTGGAATGTTTTTATTGCTCTCTCTGCGTACGACGGACTGGTGCAAGGCAGTGGCGTGATGTGTTGGAATGTGCTTATCATCTTGGATGGACTGAAATACATCAGAATACTATTGATACCACCTGACAGCTCACATTGCACTGCACTCCGTCCTTTACCTCTGGTGGACTTAAGTACATCAGATTATTCCGGTCATAGATTACCTCAAAATCACATACCATATTCTTATCCATACACCCCTAAACCCTACAACCCTGCACCCGTCTTCAGGCCGACTGGTTTGGGCCTGTAGTATTCGGTTGGTTGGATGCGTTCGAGGTGTCGTCGCGCCAGACGGTGGACACGTGCCTTGCAGATGACATGTTAGTGCACGTGCGCACTCCCTCAGCACCACGTGCACTGCGACAGTCCCAGACACAGCCCTTTGCCCAGGCCCTGTCGCAGCAGATCACCGGCCACGAGACCACGCACGCACAGGCACAGCACCACACCACCGCCAAACAGGACGCCAAGAAGACCAACACTGTCGATATGGTACGGACCAGTGCATTATGGCCTATGGCTTATGGCTTATGGCTTATGGCTTATGGCCTATGGCTTTTGGCTTATGGTTGATGGCTTATGGCTTACAGTTTATGGCTTATGGCTTATGGCTTATGGCTTATCGTTTATGGCTTATGACTTATGGCGTATGGTTTATGGTTTATGGCTTATGGCTTATGGCTTATATGTTTATGGCTTATGGCTCATGGCTTATGGTTTATGGCTTATGTCTCATGGCTTATGACTTATGGCTTATGGCGTATGGCTTATGGCTTATGGCTTATGGCTTTTGGCGTATGGCATATTTTATTCTGCTGTTTGTTGACTAATGGATGTACCGTGTGCACGAGATTGTGACGTGTAGTTTATGTGTGGGTGGCGGTGATATGTGTACATTTCTATGTGTTGTATGTGTGCATTGCTACGTGTTGTATCTGTACATTGCTCTGCAACGCTCTGCTGATACGTAGCTGTTTTTGTGATAGTGCGAGTACGTCGTTGAACTGCTCCACAGTCACAGCGCATAACAACCACCGCCCACCTGACTACATGGCAGTAGTTGTGCGCCATGTGAAGCCACACCCATCCACCACCTTCGCCTGCTGCTCGCCCTGTACTACATGCTTACATCTACAACACAACTCATCCACTCAACCACACTTCCATACTTCCACAAGATAACTCAACACATCCACTCATCCTCTCATCCACAACATAACTCAACACATCCACACATCCACATATGCGCTCACAGATACCAAAGGATAGTACCCACCTGACCGTCAGCACAGAGCACACCGCCGCACCCGCCACTGCAGGGGCATGGCACACGCACAGTGTGGGAGAGGTGTTCATGCATCTGCTCAAGAGCCTCGCCTTCTTAGACCGCCTCAACCTCGAGGATGATACCAAGCAACCGATTGTTGCCATAGGAGCCGGTACAGCACACACTACCGACACGGCACAGTCGCCTGCGAACACACCGGGCGATAGCAATGCCAGCATACAAAGTGGGGCTACCGCCAGTGTGCTGAGTGGAGCTTCGGTATGGACAGAGACTGTCATGCACGCCTGCAATCTGTTGGGCTGTGATTGCTTGTACGGCCCTATCGTGCATAATGAAAGGATGGAGTTCGCTCGCATTGAGTTTGTGGCTTGATACATAAATGTTGGCGTATGCATATGTAGGTATGACTTTGAGGCCGCCTACTTTAGTATCGATTCAAGTTATAGTATGTCAAAGTGTCGTTTTGTGTTCTCATGCGTGTTCTGAAGTGTCAGGCACATGAATGAATTCGTGTCTGTGTGTGTAATCCATTCCTAAGTACACGTGCTGTTTCAGCAGATATGCATGTTCTCCATCACAGTGGTCTCTGCATCTCGTCTCAATGTTTGCGGTGACTGTTCGTGATCCAGAATATCAAATGGTGCAAATGCACAGCAAACCCATTCCATACCATGTCTCTGGCGATATTAAGAATCGGCATACAGCCCCATGCACGCCGCTGTATATACTGGAAGATGCACGCCTATATGTGCACCTTTTTATCTTTCTGTCCGTCACACCTTTGCATAGTCAATTAAATTCGATATCTCCATCTGCAAATCCTCTCCCAATACAGAGAGAGTCTACCCCCAGCGTGAAGATGGGGCCCAATCTCAGGCACATCGTCCATGTCAAGTACGCGCATATATTGGGCAAGACTGTCGAATACTACCAGACAAAGCTACTGCTGCAAATGTCGCGCATCAGAGACATTGCCATCCACTCGGTGCGCACGGGCGGACCTACCGAAGGCGTGGTATGATATGATAGTGTTGTGTGGGGTGTCTATTTATACATATATATATATATATATATGCGTGTGTGTGTATGTGTGAGTGTGTGTGTGTGAGAGACATGTACACACACATATATATACATATATATATATCTACTTGTGATGTGTACGTTGTTCATATACAGATACATATACACATGTACATAGAACAAATATACACGGACATACATGTACATTCATATATATGTTCAACCTTACTGTGGGGTGTGTTTCTGGTGACTACAGTGTGGTGTAGGATTTGATGTGTTTGGTCTTAGATTGATACCTTTCGGGAGTATATGAATCTCTCCTGTTCTATTGTCCCGTGGTTGGGTATGGCTTGTGCGTGTCCAATTGGCAGCACGTGTTTCATACGGGCGAGACTTGCGCCGTCTGTAGTTGGTGTCATAGATGTCTGTTCCGATTATACATGACTCATGTTTCACTAAATAGATGCGCTATAGAGACTTATTTCACCAGTAAGCTTCAGCAACAACGTGAATCTCATCGTATGAGTGTCTATTCACGCACTTGCTGAACGACTGCGTGCCACTCTGTCCCAGATGTTTGTGCCTGTTTGGCATGTTGTTGTTGTACTGTTGATGTGCATAGTCAAGGTCTCATGTGACACTCGTGCAGCCACACCCTCTCCGGTTTTGACCCAGCCGTGTGTATACTAAAATATCACACCTGTCACCGTTATAGAAGTAAAAGGGATTTTAACTAACCTCACCCCAAAACCCCTATAAACCCTAAACCCTGTTTCCATTTTCGAAACACTGCGCCTTTGTTCGTTCTCAATGCAGAAACAATTGTGCTGTGGGCTATCGAACATGCAGCACCTGCACACACATCTAGTGGACATGTGCATGGCATTAAACATGACACCCGAGCAGACCCAGCGGGCACAGGACGCCGTCAAGAAACCCATCAAACCCATCAACTCAGGTGTGTGAGTTATACATCAACCCAAAAACTCACGTGTGTGAATTATACATCAACCCAACAACTCAGGTGTATGAATTATACATTAACCCAACAACTCGGGTGTGTGAGTTAGACATTAACCCAACAAATCGGGTGTGTGAGTTAGACATTAATTCAACAACTCAGGGGTGTGAGTTATACATTAACCCAAGAACTCAGGTGTGTGAGTTATACATTAACCCAAGAACTCAGGTGTGTGAGTTATACATCAACCCAAAAACTCAGGTGTGTGTATTGCACATCAACCCAACAACTCAGGTGTGTGAGTTATACATTAACCCAAGAACTCAGGTGTATGGGTTATACATTAACCCAACAACTCAGGTATGTGAGTTATACTTTACCACTATACCTTCTGTTGGGATAGTACACTCCGCCTCTATTCCACGATACCCATTCCCCCTCTATTCTACGATAGTCATACCCGCTCTACTATATGATAGCCATACCCATTCTATTATATGATAGTCATACCCCCTCTAATATATGATAACCATACCCTTTCTATTATATGATAGTCATACTATAATATATGATAGTCATACCCATTCTATTGTATGATAGCCGTACACCCTCTATTATATAATAGCCATACCCATTATATTATGTGATAGTCATACCCCCTCTAATATATGATAGCCATAGTCATTCTATTATATGATGGTCATACCCCCTCTAATATATAATAG